ACCAAAATTACACAAAAATATCTTGAAATGTTAAAACGTAAATTTATTCTATAAAATCCTCCTTAACTTCAACCACGGCTTCCAGACAACTTCGGAATCCCCTGCAACTCCTCCGGACGGTCTCCTTGTTCAAGTTGGTGAATGCAGCCATGACCCTTGCCTTCTGTTCATCTTGGGTGTTACAAGGAGTTTTCTTGGTCTCTCACTCAACTGCGCCCCACACATAATAAAGGATTTGCAGTCTGGGGAGTTGGGTGGACAGATGTAAGGAGTGATGCAGAAATTGTCTGAGAGTCATGTCTAGGTTCTCCTGGTTGTCTGGCATGGTGCAGAGTCCTGTTGTCAGACATAAGGTCTTCCAGCGCAGCCAACCTCTTCACCCAAGGAAGCACTACCTCCTTAAGGAACTGGATATAGGCCTCGGGAGTTCTTCTCGTATCAGAACGATCAAAGTGGGTAATCACTATTAGACTCATCCATCTCTTTGTTAATTCTCTGCATTGTCCTCAGATTGACACCCGAAATGTTCATTGCCAAGCAGTAGAGTATGTCGTTTCCAAATTTCTGTCGGAGTAAATTGTATTATGGTGCTCTTTTTCTCACAGATGGTTCCCAATTGATCCTATCTTACTGTACAATACAAGGACCCCCACCCCAATACTGGAAAGAGTGATAACAAATGTGAAACGTATTTTTGTAAAGATTTATTTAAATGGAAAGATTTTATAAATTTCAACTGCTCGGTCAGTGAATGCCAAATGTTTCCTTATAGAGAAACGGTTAATATTATCATTACCATTAAAACTATTGCGCATAATTATACAAGAGAAATTTAAAGAAAAAAATAAGGACAGAATGATTGTCATTTGTAAGATATTAATAAAAGATTCATTAACAGTAAGTAACATTTTCCATAGCAGTAAAGTTTTTTACGGGGTGAAGCTGCTGGTCCCATGCCTAAAATGTGTGGCGCCTGTTGTTTATATTATGGGTCTATTATATGAGTAATAATCTCAATGTAAATGTGTTTTCTTTCGTGTTTGGAACGGCTCCCCAATGGAAGAAGAGTGACCCCACTGGGTAGTTAGAAAATATACATGTTGACGTTAATTAAATAGTTAAGTAAAATTTCCTGTTGAGAAGTTCTTTTATCTCTGGACTCAAAATAACCAGCGATCACTAACTGCGAGAGAAGAATGCGACTTTATTATCGAGTGATCACCGTCCCTCAAGAGCTTTCCAGCAGGAGGGGGCTATACAAAAGCGGGCGATAAGCAAGCACAACTACTCCTATTGAGGAAACAAAATGTAACTAAATAGTAAATAAATGTTTACGTTTTTTTTTTAGAAACGCTTAAGAATTCAAATCAAGGAGAACATCGAATTGATGACGTTTGCTCTTACGTTGTAAGCGTCATCAATTTGGTTTGTTTTCCTGGATTTGAATTCTTAAGCGTTTCAAGTTACTTTGCACTGTTTTACTCAAATTAAGGAGTGACTAAGACTGGCAACTGTTAGTCGAAATTTTCCCCTCGACCAAAAAAAAAAAGGATAATTTGTTGGAACTACAAGTTTTTTTTTCTTTCAATTATGCAACTACCAACGGAGACAAGCATCCTAACTTTGGTTTGGTTTGGTTTGGTTTTCGACACATCAACCTCAGTTAATGCCGACAAAATTTTTATTGCTGGTAATTTTTTTTTTCAATAATGTATTTGAGGTAATTTATTTTCCTTAAAAAATAAACTATTTCTGGCAATATTTTACTTTTGAAAAATCTATTGCTGGTATTTTTTTCTTCAAAAATCTATTTCTGGTATTTTTTTTCTTCAAAAATCTATTGCTGGTATTTTTTTCTTCAAAAATCTATTGCTGGTATTTTTTTCTTCAAAAATCTATTGCTGGTATTTTTTTTCTTCAAAAATCTATTGCTGGTATTTTTTTCTTCAAAAATCTATTGCTGGTATTTTTTTCTTCAAAAATCTATTGCTGGTATTTTTTTTCTTCAAAAATCTATTGCTGGTATTTTTTTTCTTCAAAAATCTATTGTTGGTATGTTTTTCCTTCAAAAATCTATTACTGGTATTTTTTTCCCCAAAATGTATAGCTATTAATATTTTTTTTCAAAAATGTATTGCTTGTAGTATAAAAAATACTACAAGCAATACATTTTTAATGTATTGCTGGTAATAATTTTTCTTCAAAAATTTATTGCGGTTAATAATTTTTAACTAAGTATTTCTGGTATTAAAACCTATTTTTACACTTTCATAGTATTTTGACCACAGTTTGCGAGTTATCTATGTGCCCATAGCTGACAGGTGCTACAACCCCGGGTCAGGGTGGACCGGAGAACACTAGCAATTAAGAGGTGGTTCCACGCTCTTTAAAACGTCCTGATCAGAGGCCTTGCTGTTGGACGTAGTTTATCGTCTTACCCAGGACGCGGATGTTGTTTATCGTCATACCCAGGACGGTAGTAGTATAGAGTTGATGTACCAAAGGTGCATTATGGTATTGAGACCCGGGGCCTGTTGGAGTTAATGTGACATAAAAAAGCCCATTCAGTATAGGTTTTTCATGGATGACCAATTCGCAGTTGAAATGGTTAGATGTAACCTTAAATTCTATGATGGCAGTTTCTTTTCTTGCATTCCTCGATTGTGGAACAATCTTCCGTGTTTTCCAGTGGACTTTAATCTTGAAAATTTTAAATGCAATGTCAATCGCTATCTGCTATTTTACTTTGTTCTTGATCCTTGGTAATTTTTCCGTTTTCTAATTCTTCCAATTATGGTGATATCACGTTGAAACAGACTTTCTCGCACGATCACCACCCGGACATCCAAGCTAACAGCACCTGATATTCTCAAGCTCCACGTACTGACCTGGCTCGGCATTGCTTAACTTCATTGATTATACAAGAACTGATGTTTCAACCTGATATAAGCGTAAACCCCTTCCAGTAATAAATAAGAAACAGATGCGTTACTCTTAGACATTGACAGCGGAATGAGAACTCACTACCCACGAAAATTGTATATGAGGTTCAGTTCGAAATTCCTTGAATGTTACCTGCAGAAATGTTCTTATAATAACAACAAGGATGAAGATATAGATTTTAAAAAGACCAACAATCCTCTTTGGTAATGAACAATCAAAAAGCCGGCCGCTTAAGAAGAATTTGTTTCTTTTTTGGACCGTTAACTTCAACATGTCCGCTCTTGACTCGTTAAGAAATTGTTTAATAATATTGAAAGTAGCGATGGGAAAGTGTTTATATCGTTTGTCTGTGTACCACGTTTAATTTATTATCGTTTTATTTTATGATTCCATAGGTAGCTACCCCGTCCTTTTTGTCCTGAAGTATCCACACCAAATGGAAAAGGTATTTCTGCTCTCTGGATTACCGTACAAAAAGGGGCTGATTAAGTTTAAAAAGGTCAAATCCGTTTATCTTAAGAGAATTAAACATGAAAGCTACAGTATTCTATTCTGCCGCTTTTCTATTCGCCTTTTCGCTGGAATGGAATTATGGGTAAAGATGATTTGCAAGCAGTATTAATGAATACATGTAAACGAGGCTCAAAAGAAACGATGCAGTTGATGATTATAATCTAATAATTAATGAAAGAGGAAATGGATTTTTTTTTATTTTAATTAGAAATTTTAAGGTTCAGTCATGGATTCTCTTGCTACAGACTGAGAGGCTAGAGTTTAATATGCTTAGCATTCCACAGGAAATAATAAAATGGATTTTAAACATGTTTCCGGCATAATAACGATTTCATTGAGAAAGAGGTTTGTCTTCAAATGTCTTTCATAAATAATGGCAGAAGGGACAACGGAGAAAATATTACTACTACTACTACTACTACTACTCCTACCACCCCCCATTAGTTCTACTACTAATACTTCTGCTAATACTACCACTATCAACATCATTACTAGTACTGTCACCTCCATCAACACTAGCATTTATTACCATTATCAAATCCTTCACTACTACTGCTACCACTACTACCATCATTACTGCCACTGGCACCACTACCATCACTACTACTACGACTACCATCAACACCACCACCGCCATCACCACTATTACTACTACTATTACCACCACCATCATTAATACTACTACTACTAACACCACCACCGCCACCTCCACCGATACTATTAATACCATCACGACCATTACTATTACTACTACTACTACTACTATCATCACTACTACTGACGCGACCATCACGATTACTACCATCATCGTCACTAATGCTAATACCACTACCGTTACTACTATTACTACTGAAAATTTTTACACGAAGAAGAAACAGACAAGTTATATTACGGGGGTGGGAGAGTGACTGAAACCGAGATGCCCGGTCAGGACCATTAACATTGCAGGTTCTGCTTTGGATTTTATCAAGAATCTCTCTAAATATATAGGAGGAGCACCGGGCCAGATGTGGCAGCAATATTCAAAGCAAGGACGAATGGTAAACTTATAAATATGTCAGATAGCAAGACACAGTGTAGTGACTTTCTAGCAGCAGAACTAGCCCTTTCGTAAAAGTAATGTAAAGCGAATTTTCCCCAAAAGGAGGTTACCTGAGCATTTATATCGATTTTTAAAGGTTATTTTTGGTAAATATCATCGCTGGCATTATGAGAAACGGATTTCCTGAGAAAAATCAGAACGAGGAAAATTATCGCCATACAGATTGATTTGTTCTTTTACGGTTTATTAACCTATTGTAGATAATTTAAAGCCAGAATATATTATTTTAGATTGTAAGAATATTTGTTAAAGATAATAATAAAGATTTACTACTACAAGTCTTACTATTTACGATACAACTGGTTTGAGAAACGGCAGATTGATACCTTTCATCAGGGTATTTTCGTGTAAGTAAATATAACGAACACGGCTGGAATTCGAACTCCGATCTCCGATTAACAATTCCGAGCTATTATCCATTACACATCTAAGCTTACCCAGCGGTATTCCGAAGCGGTCACCCATCTAAGTACTAACCAGAATGGACGTTGCTTAACTTCAGGGATCGCACGGGAACAAGTGTTTGAACGTGATAGCCCGCTAGATCCAAGACAACGTGGGATGGGAGATTTCAAAGGAATATTTTATTAGAAAATCCTGAAGCTTGAACAAACAGTCGCAACTGAAAATTAAAAAAAAAACATTCTTCAGATTCCGATGTAAAGTTCCACGCCATTATCAAGTGGACAATGCTAAAAAAAAAATTATTAAAAGAAATGTGTTTGAAGATTGCTCCATACACTTTGTTCTTGCCCTTACTGTATTTCGTCCTGGGTATGACGATATCCGGCAGCAAGGCCTCTGATTGGTAGGTTTTGTTGTTCCGCCAGGAATGTGAATTATTATACCATCTCGGACTAACGTTATTCGCTGTCACGAAGTGGAAAGATTATGTTGAATCAGTTGCTAGATCCGTTGCTGTGAAAATCGGTTCGCTGTGTTAATTTTTTTTCTCTTCAGAATCTATCTTACGTGTTAGTTCATGCTTTATATATTGCTATCACATCTAGTCTGTTTATAGATTCATGATAAAATCCAAAGGAGAATCTGCAATATTATTTGTCTAGATCTGGCATCTCGGCTTCAGTCAGTTTTCTACCGACGTAAGATAGTTTACCTGTGCTTTTCCTATAAATATTTTCATGGTAATTGTTATGAATTTTCCTATATGGCGCCTACAGATTGAAGCCCGGTATTAGATTGGCGGCAAGGTCTCATCATTTTAGAGTTAAGTGGCTAGAGGTAATCGTAAGTTTTATGCTAACAGTTTCTTTTCTCGCACTTCTCACTTGTGAAACTCCCATCCGGCTCCTTCATTCACAGTCAAATTTGATCTTCAAAAATGGAAATGCAATATCAATCGGTATCTTCTGTCTTCTTAATTCATATTCTTTTATTGTGCTTTATTATTATTTTTTTCTGATGTTCTCTAACACTCAGTAATCTCTTGCGTCATAGTGGCTTTATTGCCTTGCTTGGGATGAAAAAAAACTCTTTGAGCGAATATAACAATTTATTTAATTTTGGTGAAAATCATGGCTTGAATATAGATGCACGCTCGGATACTGATTACTCTTTATCTTTTAATCCCAGAAATAAAGATTATCGGAAGCTAGGCAGGGACTGACTGTAGCTTATGAAAATCTTGGTGTACGTGAGAATTGTTCGGAATTATTTGCGCATTTAAAAAGGGAAATTTTGAATTGAACAAAATAGATGCCTCTTGGGGATTTAAGAATGTAAAAATTGATGAACTGTAGTAAAATTTCCACTGAGTGTTTAAAAAAAACAACAATTTGTAAACGAACGTGCAAATAGTTTAGGAATGTATTAGTAAAGGTTGTCGTGGAAGTAATCTTTGTCCTTTTTTTGTGGGGGTAGCTTAAAGATCTCTCAGCCGATATTTTAAACCATACGGATGTACTAGAGCAAAAAGTGGATATCCTAATAAAAATTAGAGCAAAACAGAATGAATCTGCTTTTATCGTGTAGCATGATGCCTGGATGCATTTCTCACAATTCGCACCCGGCAACATAGAAGCCGGGTGCACAGTGCACAATTATATCCACTGAGTGGGCAAGGACGTGAACTTTCACTTGCATCCGATTGACATGCGGGTTATTTTTATTTATTTATTTTTTTAATTATTAATGCCGTTTTGTAAACTGGGGCAGTCTCCCACACACCGCAGACCGAATGTAAGGTCCAGGTACCGCCTCCGAGGAGACGAGTTTGTCACTACGGAGAAGCCGAGAATAACTTTTGAAATAATGTTATAACATGCTAAGTAATGAACAATCAACTCTGGTGTTGTCATTTAACCTACGCACCAATATTATTACTATTAAAAAATAGGCAATAATCTAGAAATAAACTAACATAAAACGAAATAAAATTAATACAGCCTCCATACACTCGCTAAGGAGTGTCACAACATTCTTCTTCTTTTATATGTAGTGTCCCTTCAGGACATAGGCCATCATGAGCCTCCAAATCTTCCAGTCGCTTGTAGCTCTTCATAAGTTTTGACTTTTCTGTTATTTCTCCCAAACTCTGTTCTACCATCCATTGACTCAAGCTCATCCCATATGTTACCCGCCGCTTTCCTCTGTCACTCTTTCTCTTAATCTGTCCTATGAGCATCAGATTTTCCATACCCTCCTTCCTCATTACGTGATCCAGAAATTTCAATTGCCTCTTCCTGATGTTAAGTACGTTTCCCTTTCGCTTCCATTTTTCTCTAAAACCTCGTGGTTGATCTTATTTTCAGTCCATGGTATCCCCAGCATCCTTCTGTAGAACCACATTTCTAAGTCACAACAATGGATTAAGACAAAATAAAACAGATGCAATACTCCGGCTATTATTACCAGTTTAACCAAACGTGGAATTCATTTTTTGGAGTTGTTAGAATAATATTCAGGATGTCTAACATTTATTTATTAATCAGTTGTTAGGCAATTATCCTAAGTTAAAATTCACTTCAGGGCTCCACAACTATGTATGCAGCTATGATGACGCGGCGTTGCTGAGCCGTGGGCCTCCTGTATGTGTGTGTGTGATGCGGCATTCACCCTGGGCGGATTGAGCCGGCTTCTTCCTGTTGTGAGAAGAAGATTCTTGGGATAAATTACAGAAGTAGGGTACCCAGGCCTACTCGGTTAACGTTCTTGCTTGCCGCGGGGTTCCCACAGACGCAGAGACAGGAACGACCAGAAGCCGCCGGTTACCGATGCAGACGCTCCTTGGATTTTCACCAGAGCCCTTTGTTAGCCGGCGTGTGTGTCAGACCTGTCCGCCTTTGGTGGCCCTACCAGGAACGAAGTTCCGGGCGGCATAGCTCTGACACTACCGTTTACACCCCCCACCGACTGTGAGGTAAGGGTTGGACTTTGGGGGCTTACAGTACCAGGTGTTCCCAAGCGGTCCCCCATCTAAGTACTGACCTAGCTCTACGATGCTTAACTTCGGTGATCGAACGAGAACCGGTGTTTTCAGCGTGATTTGACCGTAAGCTAGGGCCTCCTAGACTGAAGTCAACGTCCAAACAAGACGGTTCCCCTTTTCAATCGAATCAACAGCCACATGTCCACGACAAAATCGAGCCTTCAAGATGGCAGTTGTTTGATCTGGAGAGTGATGGATTCCTCGAGGTCTAATCATGCTATGCATCACTAAATAATTCTCTAGCTTCCAACGAAGATACGTGGTGTGAACTTGTCAGGTGCCCAGCTGCGCAGTCAACCTAAGACAAGATAAGGTTATTGACTGATGATGGTGAGAAGGATTTACATTGACTGATGATGGTGAGAAGGATTTACATTATATCAGAGCTGGTCATGTAAGAGCAACATACGTGAAAGTTCAGATGTTTGAGAACTTCAAAACATGAACAAAATTTACACATACATTTTTATTACATACACATGGACATTAAACTTACTTTTTAATCCAATGAGGTCTGAATTCATAACCAGTAAATAATTATAAAACTTGAATTTTTTCTTTAACTTTTATACTGTGATGTAAAAAGGAATTCAGCCAACATATTTACAAGAGCCGCATATAAAAAGTCAAAGAGCTGCATGTGGCTCGCGAGTCGCAGTTTGGCCACCCATGCGTTATATGATTGAGCACATCCGGCTGTCGAGAGGTGATTGACATTTTTTAAGATGCCCCATATAAACGAGAACATCCAAGGTTCTGCATTGTCAACGGGACGATTGTTATCGCTGTTTTTCATGATGACGGTCGTCTTCGAGTATAGAATCCAGAGGTTAGCAGTGAATATTTCGAAGACAGTAGGAAAGCGTTGTTCAGGTAAGCAGTGGATATTTTGGTAAAAGTAGCAGAGCATAGTTCGTCCTTCTGTTTCTCTTCGCCTGACAAGTTGGACTGGACATTCGGGTTGAGTAGACAAAATGACCGCCTTTATACACGACGGATTGAATATTCTACGTCTTCTGATTGGTTAACCTTCTATTGGTGGACTATAAAGAGAGTCAAGTCTTTTGGGCTAACTCACTAGTAGATAGATATACACAGAAACTGCAACAATCGCGATCTCTGCTAGCTTAAAAAACGTGGACTTCTTGCCAATCAATGGTTCGAAAGAATTCGCAGCTGATTCTTTTGCGCCTCGTGCTAAGTCTTTAGCCAAGAGACGGTAAATAGTTCAGGTCGATATTTGTCTTTATTAGAAGTGAGATCACATTATTTGTTCACCTCCTGGTGTCGTATATTTAAAAAAAAAGAAGAAGCTCAAAAAAGAAGCTCATGTCGATATTTGTCGTTATTGAAAATGAGACGACATTATTTTCTAAAAAAAAAAAAACCCAAAAAACAATCTTATTTTAATTCCAGTTTTCCCTCCATTAGTTAACTCGACTATTACGCCCTGCCAATATCTCATAAATAATGGACTATTCCGTTTTGATCGCGTGGAAAGACGGAAAACAATATCAGAGACGCTGTTTGGTTTCAGAGAGAAAATAAAAGGTAGAAAGAAAGAAAGAAGAAAGAAAAAAAGAAGAAGAGGAAGATATGTGTTTAACGTCTCCTGATAATATCTCATGAAAATGAACTATTCCGTTTTGATCGTGTACAAAGACGAAAAACAGGAAAGATATTGTAGCGGAAGTGAAAAGCAGGATGAACTGCCGGTACCTTCGATGTGGTTGCCCGTTCCCGTCGATCAAAAAGACAACGCTTGGTGTGCTGAGTATGCGGGAGAGAATAGATGACGCGAACCCGAGAACGTCCGCTTGCAAAAAATATGGTCACGGCGCTGAGCTGTGCAGTGCCTAGAATTTGTTTATGCAAAGTTTTGAATCGTGAGTAGCGAGATTATCGATGTTTCTGGGCTCACTATAAACAGACGGATTTTCCGTTTTGGGAGGTCGAGAGTTGCTATCATTACTAGCTTAACGTCATGAATCTGATTTGCTTGTCCTCGCTTTCTGTGTCCCGGTTACGTTTGATCTTCGTCTGTTCCGTTCCTGTGGGGAATTCTTCGTCGCCTCTGCCG